ACGCAGTTTTGGAACGAATTTCGCTGACACACGTGTCATACCCAAAACATCCGTTAAAATTGATTGGCATGAGCCAAACGATATGTTAAGATCATCAGCTATTTCTCTAATCGTGATTCGACGATTTTTCAACACAATTTCTTTCACTTCCTGAACATTTTCGTCGGTTTTTGACGTGCTGGGGCGTCCAGAGCGAGATTCATCGTTAACATTTTCTCGGTCCTCTTGGAATAACTTATACCATTTATAAACATTTTTTTTGCTCAAAGTTGACTCACCGTACGCTACTGTCAACATTTCAAGAGTTTTTGAACACTTAATATCATTTTTTACACAAAAATTAATACAAACTCTCTGCTCCATTATTTTCAAAAGCAAAAAATCGCCGAGCACGCAAACACGAGTCTAACCTTTATGCCTCTCACATAAAAACAACACATGCTATATAGTCAAAACTGTGAACATATGATCGTGACGAGTGTACCAACACGACAAAAAAAATTTTTTAAATTAGTGTACAGAACGCGCGAAATTCAAAAAGTCACCTTACTTTTTGATCACACCTCGTATGTGGTGTGGCAAGACTGCACACACCGAAGCCGGACATGTCGGCGTCGCTCACGACGTAACCGCTCGCTTAAACGGAACACAACGCACTGAGAGAGAAGAGGAGACGGGCCGACAAAATCGAAAGTCATACTTTGTTTATGATCGGTAGATACGCTTTGTGGAGATTTTCAGTGTCAGTTTGTAGATTCAGACTATTTTTTTGTTTTTTAATATGCAACATTTCAGAGATTAACCGCTTTCTGTAGGAAGGTTCTTCATCAAGGATTTGAACATCGTCCCATTGGAAATCATGATCATGAAGAAGTCTATGCTCGGTAATGACGGAGCGGGCAGAAGTTTTGTATCTAATTTGTCTGCGCATCCCAACATTGTGATCACGCGTGCGGACAAGGGCAACGTCACGGTTGCTATCGATAGGAACGCGTATAAGGATGAAATGATTGCGTTGTTGGGGGACTCGGACACATATGTCCGGATCAAAAAAGATCCGACAAAAAAATTGACGACGGCTCTAAGATCTATGCTCACAAAGTGGAAAACGGGAGGGCATATCAAGGATTCTGAATACAGAGCGTTGTACTGTAGTGACGGGTCTCTCCCGAGGGCCTATGGACTGCCAAAGATACACAAGCCTGGTTGTCCTTTGAGAATTATCGTGTCGTCGATGGGCAGTCCGCTGTATTCTTTGGCCACGTTCTTACATAATAAATTATTTAAGACCATTCCGAAAGCCGACAGTAACGTCAAAAATAGTTTCGAATTAGTCGAGAAATTAAGGAGTGTACATTTCATGGGGGCACATGAACTAATATTTTTGGATGTCACCTCTTTGTTCACGAACGTGCCAACTGATGTAGCGATTGACTGCATAAACGAACATTGGCATGTTATTGCCAGCGATTGCTCCCTACCTAAGAAAGAGTTCTTGGGGGCAATACAGTTCGTCTTAGACTCCACGTTCTTTTCCTTCGACGACGTGATTTACAGACAATGCTTTGGCACTCCCATGGGCTCTCCAATATCACCGATAATTGCGGACCTAGTGATGAGGAGATTGGAGACGGTGTCCTTGATGTCGTCGAACTTTGACACATTATTTTACTATAGATATGTTGACGACATATGTACGGCGGTACATCCCTCACAAATCGATAGGTTACTAAACCAATTCAATTCATTCCATCCGCGCTTACAGTTCACCGTTGAAAGAGGCGGAAATGCAATAAATTTCTTGGACATTACCGTGTCGGTTAATGAAAATCGATGTTATTTAGACTGGTACCGTAAGCCAACGTTTTCAGGTAGATTCCTGAACTTTCATTCGAATCATCCTTTGACACAGAAAAAAGGTACCATCTTCTCGTTAGTCGACAGAGCCTTTTTATTATCTGACAATATATTTCACACTAAAAATTTGACTTTCATTATCAATATCTTACTCTTAAATGACTACCCACTCGATTTTATTTTTGACTCCATTAATCAAAGAATAAAAAATTTAATTAAAAAGATACGTAACGTACATAACGTCGTAACTGATAGTGATGTTACTAAGGAATCTACCTCGTGGCTTACGGTCTCCTTCATTCCGTCTCACACAGAAAAATTCAGAACATTGCGTAAAAATAAAGGCGATATCAGAGTAGCTTTCCACAGCCCCAATAAGATGAGCAAGTACATCAGAGTTCAAAAGGATACTTGTCCTCGTACATCGAAGAATAATGTCGTCTATAAAATTTTATGTAATGATTGCGACGCATCTTACGTCGGGCAAACGGGCAGAAAATTAAAAACTAGAATTGCGGAACACCGTAACCATATTAGATACAAAACTTCTGCCCGCTCCGTCATTACCGAGCATAGATTTCTTCATGATCATTATTTCCAATGGGACGATGTTCAAATCCTTGATGAAGAACCTTTCTACAGAAAGCGGTTAATCTCTGAAATGTTGCATATTAAAAAATAAAAAAATAGTCTGAATCTACAAACTGACACTGAAAATCTCCACAAAGCGTATCTACCGATCATAAACAAAGTATGACTTTCGATTTTGTCGGTCCGTCTCCTCTTCTCTCTCAGTGCGTTGTGTTCCGTTTAAGCGAGCGGTCACGTCGTGAGCGACGCCGACATGTCCGGCTTCGGTGTGTGCAGTCTTGCCACACCACATACATACGGTTCACCTTTGCATGTGCGGCGGATCATATTGATTTGTTCGGGTTTGCTGGTAAGTGTGCGATTTTATCGTGATTGCGGCGTTTATAATTGTTAAAGTCTGTTTTTCCTTACAAGTTCTTTTTCGGTCTTGTCTAGCGATCTGGCTTTGATAATGGACATCTTGATTGCTCAATCGTATTTTTGAGATCCATCTGAATTTTACACCTTTACGTTTTATGCTAATTGCGACATGAATTGTTTTTTACTAATTTTTTACTTATTGTTTATTTTCTCGCGCTTTACATCTGAAGAGGGCTCAATCTCGTAGCCGAAACTTGTTATGTTTTATACATTTTTATACATTTTTATTTATTAATACATTTATATGCGTCGATCCGTATCTGTTCATGTATCTTCGCCTAATATTTTTAACTAATTAAATGTTTTTTAACCTAATGACTCTTCTTTCGCCGTTTTATCTGTTTGTTTATTTATGTTATATTTAAGAGTCTTTACATCGTTATTATTTAATTATTAAAACTCTCAACTATTATCTTAAGATTAAACTTGTAGAGCTGGGAGTAGGGCTTACTCGTACACGGAGCCTTACTGCCTTATCTTAAGGAAACAAGCGCGAGTATAGGTTCTAACAAACCTTGAGGAGCATTGATTAGTCCTGAAGGGACACTCCCACATTCATTTTCAAAATATAAAAGGACCTGCCAAAAGCAAGAACGAGCAGAGAAAGAACCTGCGCGTAAGAGCAAAAATGAAACTTATCCGACATAATCAAGACGAGAACCATTCTCGCACTTCGTCAGTAACCTACTGTTTTTTCTTTTCTTTTCCTTGTTTTGTCTTATTTATTAAACGCGAGAATACTAAACTAAATCGGCTGAAATCTGAATCTCTGCTCTTATTAAACTATACATATATGCGAGTATTCGAGGAGCTGTTGTGACTATCGCTGCCAATAGCGTGACCTCCGTCTTATATCGCTTCCTCGGAATATTCATAATTGTCTTATATTCGAAGGGCTGTTACGACTGTCGCTGCCAATAGCGTGGCCCCCGTCTTACGACACTCCTTCGAATCATTAATAATTTCTTTGCGCTACCTTCATGTCAACTAAAGGCGGACGAAGATAAGGAGAAAAGAGAGATTGAGGTTTCAAATTAAAACAGCTCTCATTTCAAACCATGATTCTTTGCCCTATTTCCAAAAGTTAGCGCAATTACTATAGATCAAAATTACCTTTCCGAGCAATTATCCAATTCTAGTAAACATCCTTAACCGTACAACCTGATCTCCGATCCCCGGATAAATTGCTTAGATGCATTGACCTTAAAACCGGAAAAAATCTTAACAGCGACGCGACAGATGATATTTAGGGTTCAATAATAAAAACGCTCTATCCGTCATGCCTATTATTATATTATATTTCTTTTTTGTGAGAGTGGATGCGACGATATAAAATTAAGGTATCTTCCTGAGTACGTAGGCATATGTTATCAGTCAAATTTAATTAAATTGTTATTATTTATGGTAATATCCAAAAAATTTATTCTATCGTCACCAAATTTTAGAGTAAATTTAAATCTGTCATGTAAAGAATTAAAGATCTCAAGCGTAAAATCAACGAAGTTATTTGGAACTGCTATAACGATATCGTCTACATATCGAAAATAAAATAAGGGTAAAAAACATCTTCAAAATGTTCTAGCCTTCAATCAGCAACTATTGGAGAGAGAGAAAGGGGGGGGAAGGGAGAGGGAGAGGGGGAGGAAGGGGGGAGAAGAAAGGAGGGAGGGGGA